CTAAATAGCTGGGATTGCAGTTGCCTGGCTTCTGAGCATGTCTGGGTTCCGTGACTATGCCTTGAGAAAAGGATAGACCTCATTACACCTGAGAAATTCCATATATTTTGAACTTGAGGACAAAAACCAGCCCTTAATCACAGTGCTGAGAACAACAGGCAGGTAATTATGATGACATCAAATGAAGCAAGCACCAGGGCTCCCACAAAGTCTATACTCTTTACAAAGCCCTGTGGGTCAGGCAGGACTCCCTGAAGGAAAGGTAGGGGAAGCCGTGCAGGTAGTGTGAGCCTCCAGACCTGCCACAGGGCAGGAGAACCTGGAGGTTCAGAGAACCTGGAGCAGCCAGAAGGGCAGATGCAACACTGGCATTGGGAATAATAGCCCAGAAGGCAGAGAAGCCAGAAGAGGCCAGCATGTCCACATGGAGACGAGACTATACTCTGACGTCAATGAGAAAGCGATTATAGGCAGGTAAAGCAGAGGTACATGACCAGATTCATCACGAATTCCTGGCCAATCTGTGTGGGCAAGAATGGGAATGAGACATCTGGAGCCACAGTAGGCAGAGCCAGGGACTGAGGAGGAAAAGCATGAATCTAGACAGTGTTGGAGAGAGGCCTAGAGAGGGAGAATCAACAGACCCTCATGACAGAGGAAGGCAGAGAGAAGCAACATGCCAGCTCAGTAGAAAAAATATCGCTAGTGTTATTTATTCTTTGAACTCCTGCTGTACCTAACCTATAATCTGCCTGAATGATTCTCTTGGGGAGGGTTATGGGGGGAGGAGTTGGCAGTAGCGCTTGACCTCAGGGCCTGGGTGCTTTCCCTGAACTTTTTCACTCAAGGTCACCGTTCTACCACTTTGTGCCACAGCACCACTTCTTGCCTAAATTATTTAAATGTCTGAAATAATACAAGAGACATTCTGTTTATAGTATTCAAGAAATAACCTCTCCAATGCCATTAATTCGTGCCTATAACCCTAGCTACCCAGGAGGCTGACACCCAGAGAATGGAGGTTCAAGGCCAGCTCAGACAGAAAAGTTTGTGTAAGACTCCTTCTACAATTAACCAGAAAAATGCTGGGCTGGAGCTATGGCTCATGTGGTAGGGCACCAGCTGTGAACAAGAAAACAGAATGAGAGCACAGGCCCTTAATTCAAGGCTCAGTACTGGAACAAAAGGGAATGAGGGCGGAGGGTTAGGGTTGGAATAGAGGTAGGAGAGAGAGAAAGAAGAAGGGAGGAAGGGAGGAAGAGAGGAAGGGATATGAGGATGTTGTGACATAATAGCAACTGACAAGGACAGAGAAAGCTGCACACAACCAGCCTCCTTTGTGTTCTGCAGATGTATGGACACTAGCAGGTACCACATCGTCCGCGCAATACAGCCCTGGTGTGATTCTGATCCACTGTAGCGAGACTTAAATACATGCTTACATTTAAAAGAAAAACACTTGCACATAAAACTGTAGTCTTGGGTTTGTTTTCACACAGCTCAGAAGGATAGACCCAAGATACAACAGAAAGTTTTAATAAAATATTTTATTAACCTAATATCCTAAATATTATCATTTTAATGTTTTAAAAACCACACTTATAAGGTGCTGTGTGCTCTGCTTTGCACCTGTACCTCTCCATCTGGATAGGACACACTTCCTGGGAGGATGAATACCTGGTAGTTAGTGATCTGTGCTGCACAGTCCAGGTCTAACCATTTCACTCTATAGTGAAGATAGTGAAATATAAGATTAGGCAATTTGGTGAACTGTGTGGTCAAGCCCAAGATTCTTATTGCCTAATTCACATTTCAATGTTCTCTGCACTTGAGCAGACTCTGTCACCACTGTGTTTTATGTCCACAAGACACAGAGGTGTGGCAACTTACCACAACAGGCCTGCTGGTGCCTGGGGTGAACAAAACTCACAGGAGACCACAGAAAACCAGAACCCAAAAGAACAAGTATGGGCTCAGTGTTGGTGGCTGGCTAGCAACCTCCTAGCTACCCCAGAGGCTGAGATCTGAGGATCCTGGTTTAAAGCCAGGCCCAGGCAGACAAATCCAAGAGACTCTTCTCTCAAATTAATCAGCAAAATGCCAGAAGTGGAGATGTGGTTCAAGTGGCAAAGCACCAGCCTTGAGCAAAAAAGCTAAGGAACAGCGCCTAGACACTCAGTTTCAAGCCCCAGTACTGACAAATGCACTTGCATGTGCATAAACACACATACACACAAGGCATGGCTGAGGCAGAAGGTATACATGGTCTCATCAGTAGAACTAAGAAGCTAGAATGTTCTATATTGACAAGCCCAGAAACCTTCATTACATACTGACACAAAAGGACCATGGCTGGCTTGTAAAGTGTGTATTATCCAAGTCAGCAGTGCTTACATGGAAACAGAACAGTGTACACCAGCTGAGCATTAGACTTGCATGATTTCTGAGAAGATTCCTAGTATCTCAACTTCTACTTTATTAGAGAAATGAAGTGATCTGCAAGACTGCAATGAGATAATGCATCTGGAACTTGCTTTAAATACTCTGGCAAAAAAAAAGGGGGGGCTGGGGGACTTAGATCAAACAAAATAGCAAATGTTAATAATCCTTAAAGCTGGGTATGGGGCACAGAGCAGTTTGTTCTACTCTTTTTCCTATCTTTGCAGGTTTGAAACTCTCCATAATAAAATTTTTAAAAATCAAGGAAAGTTGTGGAGAGGAGACAGGGAATAGTCTCATGAAATAAGTTACCAGAGCATTTATTCTAAAATTAATAAATAAACTAACATTCCAACAGTAATAACAGGAGTAGAGAACTCGAAAATGTGCAGACATTTAAGTTTTAAGATAGCAGACCAGCCAGGTACCAGTGGCTCATGCCTGTAATCCTAGAATTCAGAAGCTGAGATCTGAGGGTCAAGGTTTGAAGCTAGTCCAGGCAGGAAAGCCTGAGACTCTTATCTCCAATTAACTACTTTTAAAAGGTGGGGGGTAGGGGGGAGAGCTGGGAAGGTGGCTCAGTGGTAGAGTGCTTGCCTTGCATGCATGAGGCCCTGGGTTCCATTCCTTAGTACCACAGAAACAGAAAAGGCCGGAAGTGGCACTGCAGCTCAAGTGGTAAAGCACTAGCCTTGAGCTGAAGAACTGATGGACAGGCCCAGAGCTCAAGACCCACCACCAACCAAAAAAAAAAAAACAGAAGTGAAACTGTGGCTCAAGTGGTAGAGTAAAAACTTTGTGTGAAAAAAGCTTTGAGATAGTGCCCAGGCCCTAAATTCAAGTTCCAGGACCAACACACACACACACACACACACACACAAAGATACCCACGCCCTGAGTTCAAGCCCCAGGACCATGGGGAAAAAAAAGTCAAGCACTTTTTCGTACAAAGCTGGGGCTAAGTAGACACACACACATACACACAGACACAGACACACACACACACACACACACACACACACACACACACACACACAAATCCCAGCTATACTGTTGTTTTATTAGTGTGTATTAATGGTACAAAGGAGAATAATCTAGGTATTTCACACCTTCATGTATTGTATGTTGATCAGATTAACCCAGCCATAATGAATTTTATAATAATACTCACAATATAACCAATTATGTCCTATTCTAAGATATTTAAATTCTTCCTAGTTGCTTAGTATCACAAATAAGTTTATAAGCATGCTTTTCATTTAATTAAAGGGTCCCTCTTAGTTTGCATGTGGGTTAAATTTCGGGCATGAATTTGCCAGTTTTAGGCTGTATGTGATCCTTGGTAGAGGGTTTGTCTGAGCTTGATCCTCCCTCATCCCATATTAAAAAAAAAAAACTGTACTTCTTTGCATTCATTTTTTTTTATCCTGTTTTGGCACCCAGGGTATTTTGTTTTCAAAGCTAATTTCAAAGGAAATAAAGTGGGTTGGTTTTGTAAGTTTCTGTCTCCTCTGGCATTCATATGTGTTTTGTGCCAGGACAAGATGATTTGCAAAGATAAAGAAAGAAGATCCTGTTTTTAAATGTTAGTCTGTTGATGTGGGATAATGTGATTTCCCATTCAATACCAAATGTAGCTCCTACTTACTGCTTAAGTGTTTCTTTTTTTTTTTTTTTGGGGGGGGGGTCCGGTCGTGGGGCCTGAACTCTGGGCCTGGGTGCTGTCCCTCAGCTCTTCAGCTCAAGGCTAGCACTCTACCACTTCCGTCTTTTTTCTTTTTGCTTATGTGGTGCTGAGGAATTGAACCCAGGGCCTCAGGCATGCAAGGCAAGCGCTCTACCACTGAGCCACCTTCCCAGGCCTCACTTAAGTGTTTCTTGAGACCAGCTTTTCATTGCATCAGATTTCCTGAAGCAATTCTAAATAAAGGGTGCTCAGTCTACTCGCTCAGAGACCAGTCATAAAAACGGTAAATTATAATCAAGGACAGTTCTGTTCTGATTACTTAAAAAAAAACTAACCATAACTCCTCTGTATATTTATTATTTTTATAATAACAAAAATAAATAAAACTCACAGCTTAAGAACTTACTAGTAATGTGACTATTTGGGAGGCTGAGACAGGAAGGTTGCTTGAACTCATGTTGGAGACCAGCCTGGGCAACACAGTGAGAACTCAGAAAGGAGAGGGAGAGGGAGAAAAGGGGGAAGGGGAGGGAGGAAAGGAAGAAGATATAAAGGAACTGCAGGTTGGATTACTTGAGAGTAGTCCACAAGCAACACAAGGACGTATTTCTTGGTGCATTTCCTTCCTTTGAGGATATTATTCCAGTATGGCAAGTTCTTGGGAAGATCATACTACCTGCCATTTTGCTCTGTGATTAATGAAGCATTCTCCAGAGGAATATCTTAAAACTTCAGTGCACCTAATACCCTGTTCACATTGGAGGCTGGCTTGCATCATTTAAATCAGCAGGAAGTTGTGGAGAGAAACTCCAGAAGTTGTCACCCATTTGTGACCAGATAGTAGATGGTAAAAACTCTTAAGTAAAGGACTTACAGTCTTTGGAGACTGGATAACTGAAAGTAGAAAGGTGAGAATCATATTCCAAGATCTTGTGCAACCCACCATTTTGATATCTGGACAAAACTAATTCCTCATTAACTTTAATCTTCTCAAATATAATACAATCTCAAGCCATTTTTTGAATATACCCCTAATCATAGCACTCAGGGAGCTCAGCCAGAGAGAGCAAGAATTTGAGGTTATACATAGATGGAAGACTATTTCCTAGGACTGAGGCTGTAGTTCAGTGGCAAAGCAGATGCTTGGCATGTGCGAAGCCTCAGGTTCAATCCTCAGCACCACAGCGAATGAGGTAGAAGAAGAAACTCCTACAACTGGTAGTATTACCACACACAATAACACATTAGCTCAGTCTTGTTGAATAATGCAACAAAATCTATCTTGCCAGGTGGCAATAGTCACCTTGAAGGGACAGATAAAGTCGAAAAGCAAAACAAGCAAATATTCACCACACACACAGTGAGAGCAAGTCCAATGAAATAAAAGCTATCAATAGTAAGAAATAAAGGAACACAGAGATAACATAAAAGCACCCTCAGAATTCTGAGAATCAGTAACAACTGTGATGACGATGATAATCATGGTGTTGATCCTGATGGTGACAGTGATGGTGGTGGTAATTATACAAATCTCCACTTAGCCAAGGTTTCAACCCTAGGATCAGAGATCTGTAGCCCACCACCAGAATGAATCAAGATACGTTTCATATGACTTATTTTAAATACCTCTGTTATCATGTTTCCCATTATTGGCAATACCTCAGTCCAAACCAGCTCTTGTGGAAAGAGAGAAGAGTTCAATGCATAGCCAGGGGCTAGTGGCTCATGTCTGTAATTCCAGGTACTCAGGAAGCTGAGGTCTGAGGATCAAAGTTCAAAACCAGCCTAAGCAGACAAATTCAAAAGACTCTGATCTCCAGTTAGCCAGCTTTTAAACGCCAGGAGGCCAGGAGTAGAGCTGTGGATCAAGTGGCATCAATCTTGAGTGAAAAAGCTAAAAGACAGGTCCTGAGTTCAAGCCCCAGTTCTGGCAAAAAGGAAAAAAAAAGTCAATTTGCACAACATAGCGTCTGCCTCACTTACAGGAAATCCTGTGACCCGCAAACTCACATGACCAGGGAGACTGTGGCTGTTGGCCTCATACAAAGAGGTAACCAACACTCATGTTTGGTTCACCACGGAATTCAGTGAGCAGCAGTGACCTTGTTCCTTTCCTGGAAGGTTGAAGAACTCACCTAAGGCATGGCTACAACTCCGACAGGACTCCGTGAGACTGACAATTATGTGCTGCAGATCGGCTCTGGGAGGAGTGGGGGAGGGATTGGGGTTTTTCCAGCCATTACATTTACAGGACTCCTCCGCCTGAAACAAGAAAGACAAAAACAAAATTCTGTAACAGGCAGCCAGGGACTGATCATCCTGCATGAGAACCATTGCACCCTAGTTATTATGACAGCCACCCCCAGACACAGCACACCTCCATTGTGTAATTTTCTATTTGTGCAAGAAAAATTAACACATAGGCACATGCACACACACACAGAGTAAAGGCCAAGGGCTTATTTGCTTTGGGCACTTTAGTTTTAGTTGTTGTGCTTTCTGCTGGCTGGAGTCGGCTGAACCCCACCCAGCCTTTGCTTACCACCCCCGCCCCCCGTTGGTCCTCAGTGGAGATCCATGCAGGGGCCAGTTCCAAAAATGTCCATCCCACAAACTCTCCCCAAATAATGAGGTCTTCCACAAAGTCAATGAGGCGCCTAGGTTGACACCTTGCAGATTCCAAGGTTCCAGATGCAAACTCTGGTCCATGTGGACCAGAAGCATAGATAAGAAGCCATGAGAATCTGAGAGAGCTGAGAGGACACACACCCACTGACACGTAATGAGCCCTGGGGCTTCTATCTGTGCAGATTGCCCAAGGGATTTGTGCTTGTTTGAGCAATACTTGATGAGAGGAATTGTTCATTAGCCTTGTCCACATATTCTTCATACCCCACATCTTTGTAGAAAAGTCTTCTTGCAGTAGCCTGAACAAAAGGCACCCATGGAAAAACCATCATTTTCTGCACCAAGCTGGGACACTACCACTCAAGGGAGTCCTGCGGCTACTAGCATGCTTGTACTGAATTATCCCTATCACATACGTAGACCACTGTCCTCCTCCTGTTTGTTTTCTTCCTTTCCTTATTTCCTTCCTTCATTCCTTCTTTTTTACTTTTTCTTTCCTTTTCTTCCTTCCTTCCTTTTCATTTTCTCTTTGTCTTTCTTTCTTCCTTCTTCCTTTTCTTTACTTCTACTTTCTTTCCTCCCTCCTTCCCTCCCTTCCTTCTTTCCTTCCTTCCTATGATGGAGTTTGAACTCAGGGCCAACGCATTGATCTTTAGCTTTTCTGCTCAAAGCTGGTGGTCTATCACTTGTGCCAACTTACTTCCAACTTTCTACTGATTATCTGGAGATAAGAGTCTCACAGCTTTTGTTTCTATTTTTTGCCAGTCCTGGGGCTTGTGAAACTGGGGGCCTGTGCACTGTCCCTGAGCTTCTTTTGCTCAAGGCTAGCATTCTACTACTTGAGCCACAGCACCACTTCCGGCTTTTTCTGTTTATGTGGTACTGAGGAATTGGACCCAGGGCTTCATGCAAACTAGGCAACCACTCTACCTCTAAGCCACATTCCCAGCCTCACAGATTTTTTGACCAGACTGGCACTGAACTGTGATTCTCAGATCTCAGGTTCCTGATGAATCAGGATTACAGGCCTTAGCTAGTGTTGCCTAATTCTGCTAGGCATTACCTGAAGCTTCATTACTTGAAGCATTTACTGCTTCAGATCTGCTGTGGCTAGGAAACCAGAAACTAAATGGTGGTAATAGCAAATAACACACACTAGTTCATTCTAGGCAAAAGCCTTTCACATACACTGTCCGATATGATGACCATTACCTAGCAACCTGAGATTAAATTCTTAAAATGTGGCTTCTCCAAAGTAAATTACATAGGTTAGGAATGTGGCTTAGTGGTAAAGTGCTTGCCTAGCATGCATGAAGCGCTGCATTCGATTCCTCACTACCACATAAACAAAAAAGGCCAGAAGTGGTGCTGTGGCTCAAGTGGTAGAGAGCTAGCCTTAAGCAAAAGAAGCTCAGGGACAGTGCCCAGGCCCTGAGTTCAAGCCCCAGGACTGGCAAACAAAAATAAACAAACCAAAGTAAATTACACTGACCAACCAAAAACAAAAACAAAAAAAAACCCTTTTTCTCATGTAGCTTGTGTTGGGGTGGTTGGACAGGGGCAAATGGCTCACACAAATAAGTAAATTATACAATGTATTAAAAACTACAACCAGAAGTTGAGTGCCTGTAGCTCACATCTGTAATCAAAGCTACTCAGGAGGCTATGATCTGAGGTTTATGACTCAAAGCTAGCCCAGGAAGGAAAGTTTTAAGACACTTTTCTCTAATTAACTACCCAAAAGCTGGAAGAGGACTAGGTGCTAGTGGTTCACTTTTATAATCCTAACTATTCAACAGGCTAATGTCTGAGTTCAAAGACAGCCTAAGTAGGAAAGTCTGTGAGATTCTCATCTCCAATGAATGAATGAAGGAATGAATGAGAATTATTTGCAGTAGTTTTGAAAGACCCAAAACTTTTCTCACATTTGGGTTGTTTCCTTTGTCACTGAAATCAATTCAAGCTCACAAGAAACAAGCTTTGAATTCTTGAAGACAACAAACACTTTCAGAGATATAGATCATCAGTTCATTACTGCAACCAACTCAATGCAATCCCCCAGAAAGAAAAGCTTGTATTCCTTCTTGTCTTAACATGACAGACAACAATAGCAGTGTTTATAGGAGACCCACAATTGGCTGAGTCACAGATCTCATGGTAGGGAGATATATAATAATAAAGCCTTAGATTTCTCTTACTGGATAAAAATAAAGAAATAAAAGCTCCATACCCCGAACTTTAACAAACACTTATTTAAGTCCCTGTGATATACAGTGTTAACAAATTTTCCATACAATAAACACCAGGCCTTAAAAATGTAACCGAATTACAATATTCAATCCACAGCATTATCCAGAAAGAAAGAAAAGAAAAGAAAAGAGAGAGAGAGAAGGAAGGAAGGAAGGAAAGAAAGAAAGAAAGAAAGAAAGAAAGAAAGAAAGAAAGAAAGAAAGAAAGAAA